CCCCCCCCCCCCCCCCCCCCCCCGCGAAAAAAAAAGGTTTTCCTTCCCAGGTTAGAAGAGCGCATGTATGATGTGGACTGGCCTCCCTACCTTGACATCTTCCATCATTCCCTCAAAATCGAGCCCCTTCGTTTTCGGGTTGTAGTACCGAAAAGACTTGACCATGACGTTTGCGTCTCGCCAGATATTCAAGTGCTGGATGTCGCAATCGCGAACAACGTTTCAAAAACGGCAGGAAAGTAACAAAGTAGTGAGGGACGTAGAGCCACAGTCAGCTTAGAAAAGCAGATGATCAGGAAAGCAAAAAAAAAGTCACAACAAGGAAAGCGGAGCACGGTATACACCAGGAAATGCAAACCCAAAAAAAGAAAAAAAGAAAATAAAAGAAAAAAGAAAAGAAAAGAGGCTCTGCATTCCCATTCATATCCGAGAGCAAGGATGAGCATAAAGAACTTGTGACCCTGTGTAGCATGTTTTGCAGCGTTTGCCTTGTACCACGACTACTTGGGCCCAGCGTTCAAACCGCCACTACGTTTCCAAGGCCTTTGTCCAGAGTCGCGGTGTGGACGTTGAAGCGACTCTCTGGAAATACCAGGGTGGTGTTTCGTAGCAGATCCGGGTTGGCATGTGAGACCCGTTTTGCCTGCCTGCCAGTGGATGGATGCCATGCGAAACAGCACCCCGGTACTTCCTGGAGTCGCGGCAGTGTGCATGCCACGACTCTGAAACACTCACTGGGAATCAACACCGTGGGTCGGCGCCGCGACTTTCAAGCACCTGAGCCATTTTACTCGCTGAGTCGCTGTTGATAGAGATTCATCAATTGCAGCACACTGACCCCCAAAGGTCGCAAGCCCGTACATGGCGGCCCAGCTTGGAAAAAATAGTTCCGTCGATCACTGCTGTTTTAACTTTTTTTAAGTTTTTTAACAATTGTTGTTATTACATGTGTTCGAACTCTGAAGAGTGTGAACTGTTTTTCGAAAAAAATTCTTCTCTTTTGTCTCTTTTCTTTTCTTTTCTTTTCTTTTGATTTGTTTGCATGCGCATGTGTTTGGGGTGTGCGTTGTGCGACGCAAAACCCTAAACCCTAAAATTATTGTATCCACCACAATCTGAAGTTCAAAGTTCGAACTCTTGATCTGTCTATCAAAAAACTACTACATGCGTGGGGTACCTGTTAGCCAGCAGGCTGTATATGGGGGAGCTATAGCTACCGCTGATATCACCACCTGCAAAGTAAAATTTGAAATGCCTGGAATCAGCTTGCATGAATTTGCACATTCAATTTGAGCATAAAATACTACGCAGAGTCTCAGCGTACAAATGGCACACATCAGGGGCAGAGGATTCACAAGGACACGAAAACGCAAAAAAAAAAAAGTGTGGCCAACTGCAGTGTAACGACGCCTAGAAAGGGAGACAAAAAAAAAGAAGAGAGAAAAGGACGCAGATCAACTAAGAAAAAGCAGAGGGACAAGGGGGTAAGTGGACATTCCACGGGATTGATCGAGCGCCCGGACGGGCCGGGCCAGCCCCACACGGAAATGAAGAAAAGGTAAAGGGGGTGGCATCCTTTGCCTGTGAGGCCCGTGCGACTGTCCGCAATGTTTTTGTTTTGCCACCCCATTTCCAACCGTTCAAAGTTCGAACCTTGTTTCTTTTTTCGGTTAGTCACGTCACTTTCGTTTTGGTCCATTTTTATTTCCACTTCACTGTGCCGCTGGGTGGTGACCGGTTCCGCCGGCGCACGATTTCAAATCCTTCATGTGAATCAGGTTCACTTTCTGTGTCACATGGGAATATGCTCGCCTCCAGCCTGTCATCATCGCGCATTTGTCTGTCACCATCGCCTGCCTTTGTCCGCAGGTTCGCTGCCGAACCTTCTAGCCGCCCGTCTCCTTCTCGTGGTAAGTCATCTGCTTCTTCTCCTGGTTCTGTTGTATGCTTCTTTCTTCGTCTGCTACTTCTTTTTCTTCTTTCCTCTTTCTTCTTTCTTCTTCCTTCTTCTTCTTCTTCTTTCATCTTCTTCTTTTTTCTTCTTCTTTTCTTATTCTTATTAGTATTTCTTCTTCTTTCTTTCTTTCTTTTCCTTCTTCCCTCTTTGTTCTTCAGACTTCTTCTCCTTCCCTCCCCCATCGTCTTTCCCACATCATTCAACTTGCCTCTGCCATCTCATCCCTGCTGAACTTCCCCTCGTTCCGCTCTCTCCTCCATCTCTCCCCCCCCCCCAATGTCCCCATCCCTCATACAAGTTTTCAGGGAAAAAAGGCGGATAATGCATCAAGATTGCACACTCGGAAGAAGAAGAAGAAGAAGAAGAAGAAGAAGAAAAGAAGAAGGGAAAAAAAAACGAAGGGAAAAATTCAAAAAAAGAAAAAGAAAGAAAGGGGTAACTTCTTTACAAAAGAAAAAGAAAAGAAAGGGGTAACTTCGGTAGAGTCACAAAAACGAGTTGTAATTGCACTATGGGGCATGATAGACATTGCAATTGCACTTCCGGCACCCTACCTGGCTAGAAAGTTGGGTTGTATACATTGCCCAAACTGCAATTCGAAATTGTATCTATCCTGGCCCACAGTGCAATTATAACTCATTTTTCGTGACTCCCGCGTAGTTTCCCCAAAACGCAAACAAAACAAAATCCCGGTCCTGTTGCATGGCCAGTATAACCTAGGAGGACACAGAGATCGCCGGATGGTGGAGGATGACGAGTCGTCGACGACACAGCAGCAGAATTACGAAAGAGTAGTAGGATCATCAGCAATTTCATCTCCATTGATTCCTCTCACTTTACTACTAGATAGCATTATTGAACAACATGTTTAAAGTTTAAACTTTAAAACCTTGTCTGTAGTCTCTGTACCACCGCCGGCAATTGACTCCGTTAATGCGAGAGATGTTGTTGTGGCCACTGGCAATTGCAAGAGCCACAGGACAGATATGAAAGACGTAAGACGTCCCAACAGAGAGCGGAGTGAAACAGGAAGAACAAGAGGGTGAAAAGGGGTGGGGGTTTGGAGGGCAATGGAGGCGAGGAGAGAGAGATGCTCACTGACATTGCTCCATGTTGGGACCGGAAAGAACACCTGGGACTCTGGTCGGAAGCGGTGCTGAAGGTCGGCCATCAGCCTGCAAGCCCCAGTTCCAGAGAGGGCCTGGACAGCAGCCACCCTTCTTTCCTTAATGACAGGGGAATCGTCGCCATATGCCAGCTTAATGGCAAGACCATTGAACCTCTTCATCCCCGCCATCGGGAGATACTCCCTGATTCAACCACCAAAGGCAAAGCATACGATCGATCAATCACTTGTTCACCACCATCACACCACTTCAAATCTCTCCTTTCTTATCCATCACATATGTCACTGACCAGAAGCATTCAGCACATGAATGAATTTGGCACAACATGCAAGCCACATACATACATGCTAGACAGCACAGGATTATACTGTGCACCGAGACCAGGCTTCCATGGATAGACAAGCAGAAGTGGCGACACAATCCATCGTACGATTCGTAAGAATGAGCAGGGACAGAATCGATGACGTAAGGAATGAAATTCAATGAATCCAATCAGCGCAAAACCACAGCATCCCAGTCTGCCATGCACCCGTTCTTCGACAGCATGAATCTGAACCTGGTCCATAGGTGGCCTGGAAGTCCACGGGGGGAAACCGGTCACTTGATCCAGTCACACCTTTCCAAATAGGTACACCATACTCTTCCAAATAGGTGCACCATACTCTTCAAACAGCATGGGATAGCTTGTAGACATAAGTGGCCACATAGCATCATGTGCATCGCTTCCACATAAACGGCAACACAGCACGACCTCGTTTAGACACAACTGCGGACATCATGATGGGCATCGATGGCGTATTAGACAGAAGTTACAGAACTGGCCACATAGCCCCATGGCATGGCTTGGACATAGTAACTGGCCTTTCATGTCTAGCAAGCTTATCTTGAAAACTTTAAGATGAAGTCAATCTACTTAAACATCCGACAACTTTCATCACAACTGCAAAAATCCAACTCTAGCTCATAGCTGACCTGCCTGCGCATGTCGTCTTGGCCCTAAGGCTTCCAAATATCTCGATCGTGACTTACAACACCATGCCTTCGCGCCATGCTTGGCATGATCCAAGTCGTTTCTTCTTTTTCTTTTATTCTCTCTGCTTCTTTTTTCCTCTGTTGTGTCCATCAAGGGTTAGTTAGGGGGCGAGTTACGGGGTGGCGGGTGTTCCCTGGGGCTAAGTTCCGCTATGCGCTATTGGGGGCTTAGGCACCAGTTCCTGCCATGGGATCTTGAACATCTCACGGCTGCACTGTGGCGATGTGGAAAAAAGAGAGTCGAAAGGACGACTAAACCGCCGCCGCTACTGGGACTTATGCCCCCAGTCATGTACAAACAGTAGAGAGATGAAGAGACGAGAAAGCGTGAAGAAAAAAAGGAGGCCGCGATGATAAAGTTAGAGATGATGAGATGAAGGACCACTATGCTAAAAGGGGGGGGGAGGCGGGGGGGGGGAAGGAGTTGAAACCCTGCTGCTATATTTTATCTATATTTGCATGAGTGTACCACACAGCCACTGGGCAGGGTAGCCAAAGTTTTCAGCATAATTTTGACCATAGCAAAATCCATTCACTGCAGCATCAACCAAACACACACAAAAAAATAAAAAATAAAACTCACAGAAGCGCACCATCTTCGCATTGGAAGAGAAAATTGAGGTTAAAGAAGCAGAACAGAAAGCCTACGAACACGCACCAAAATAAGATAAAGAATTCAAAAGAAATCCCCAACCAAAGAAAAAACAAACTGGAACAGGCACCTTACATGTACTCAATTCCGGCAATGCGTTGCTCCGCCATTCGAACGCACTCCAGCACAACAGGCTGGCCATTGTCATCTCGATACGCACCCTGTTTGGATCACCAAACACGAATGAAGGCACATCTCCCCATATATATATACATATATATATATATATATACATATGAGGCCCTCTCTGAGTCAAATACCAAAACACAGGTCCTATACGTACTAGTGGGTACATCACCGGCAAGACAAGCTTCAACCTTAACATCAAATGAATACCACGAGGGGCCAATAACACCAACATTGTCAGCATGGTGAGTGACAAGCTCGGTACACCTAACATCAATAGCATGATGGGCAATAGCAGCAAGATTGTGCGCATGGTGAGTGAGTCAAAAAATGACTACCCTATCATTTCTCGCTCACACTTATCCCGACCCTTTCTTCATCAAGTTTTTTTTTTTTTTTTTTACTCCATAAAGCTTCCACCTCCGCTTGAGAGTTCTGAGACCTTATCGGCACCCAAAGGCGGGCCGGCTCATTGCCGAAGCTGACCTTTCATGCCTACCGACTCTTCTTGGGCTTGCTCAAGAGTTAACACAGTTGTTTGAACCACCACCACCTTTCCCAGGCAACATCGACGATCGAAAATGTGACACATTCCCGATTCTTCGGATGAACTGTGCTATCAGCAGACCACAATGGCTGGTGGCGCCAGCCAAAAGAAAAGGGAAAAAAAAAAACAAAAAACACTGTGCTGGTGCTTCGGCAAAGCTGGGCATGCAGTTCCTCCCCGCCTCCACAAAAAGAGGCTCGGAGGTAGTGGTCGTTGGACCAGTAGAGTACACCCAGGCCTGTTTCACCGAGCTGGTGGCGAATTTTGCCGACCCTGGAGGCGGCCGAAACCGGCAGGAGTAACTTGCATGTTGGCGCTGATAGCGCCCTCTATGCTGGACGCTGCTGCCAGCAGCTGGCGCGGAAGGCGGCAGTCGTTTTCGCGTTTTCACTCGTGTGCCACCAGCAGGACATTTTGCAGTCCATTTGCCCTCTTCCTTGGGCCCACTGGCTTCCTCCCTCATTGCCCTACCAGCCTGGCCTTCCCCGAGCCCCGGAATTTTCAGAGTAGGTGACGAGTTCTTTTTCTGCAAAGCTGGGGCCACCGGAATTTTTTGAGTACTGGTGGTTTAAACCGCCATACTGTAAGTCTGTAACATCATCAGGCAAACTTGAGAATCAAAATCTAGCCAATCCAAAAAAAGATCGGAGGCTTGGGGCTACCGGACCAAAACGGCTGGCAGCACCAGAAAATAGAAAAGAAAAGCGTCACGCTGGCATTTCGGCAAAGCCTGGCATGCAGGGGAATCTGCCTCGACAGTAAGAGGCTTGGATGTACTGGTGGAGTTTAAACCATCAGTACGTCCTAAAGTGGTGCGCCCGTTAACGCGGCACGATTTTAGGAAACGTACGGGCCGCTACAGGAGCACCCAAATTCATCCGACTAGAAACGTTCTACTCTATATTCTTTTTCCAGGACCGATAGCTGGGCCAAGTACTGGCGGTTTAATTTGTTCACAGAGTTAGGGGACCTCACCGCACATCTCACCAGATTGCAAAATCGTTGGCCAGTTCTCGGCAGTCTTGACAGGGCCTGAAAAGTCGAAAACTGACCACATTCATCTTATCGCCGCAGAGCCTGAAGAGTTGAAAACTGACCACATTCATCTTATTGCCGCACGACTCGTCAAAACAAGGAGCTCACCAATGACACATCGAGAGACTCGCAAGTTTCTGGTGACTGCTGTGGAGGGACCTAACTCGAACAGCAAACTACCTTCTCGCATGTACCTGACCCAATTGCATGTCAGGTTCCTTTGAAAAAAAGTCCACCACTCAGCAATTTGGGAAATCCTTAATGGCAGGCAAAAATCCGCATTTGGAAAAACAAGCTCGGAGTGCTTTAAGCCTTTAAGCCACCAGTCCTTGACCCAGTTATTTGTTTTAGACCGTCAGGGTTTGGGGCCGCCGTTGACGAGTTTCATCGACAGCCTGCCAAGCGGCCCAGACCCCTGGAAGTCACGATGCTGTCCCACGGCCGTACACCCGGTCAAGCACTGGTGGTTTAATGTGTCAGTACCACGGACCCTAAATTGCCAAACCTAATTCTTCTGCACTCAAACAAAACGAATGGACCCCGGCGGGCAAGTGCATCGAACGCAGTCACTGTGTGGCCTCTGGATGTATACTGCTGGAAGGTTCAGAGGAGGGGCCTCTTACTGATGGGTTAAGCCACCAGTAGCAGAGGACCAATTTTCTCCTGAACGAAAAAATTTCCCAGGGACACATTGGTTGCAGCCAGGCTGGTAGGTTGGAAGCATGGCCTCCATGTATGCGAATGCAAACTTCCGAGGAAGGGTCCAGTATGGGTGGTTCTTTTTTCTTTTTTTTAACCCCGAAAATCTGCTTAACACCTCCTCCTCACTGCAGCCATTCGTCCGTGTTGTAGTCCCCGATAGGTCATGACAGACCACAATGGCTGGGGGCTGCGGCAAAAATTGAAACAAAACGCCGCACCGTCGGTTCGGCAAAACTTGGCGCGCAGGGCGTTTGCGCGCAGGGCGTTTGCGTGCAGGGCGTTTCCCGGCTCGGCATCAATAGGTGGGCCAAGTACTGGTGGTTTAAACCACTGCACCAGTGCGTTTCCCAGCCATTTTTTCAGAGTCACGGTGTATACATGCTGCCACACCTCTCGGGAAGCACCGGGGCGCTGTTTCGCTGGATATCCATCCAAGCAAAAAGGGCCTCGCATGCAACCCGTGGTATCCAGCACAGCCTTTTCAAAGCCACACCCCATTGAAAGCAGATCCAGCCTAGACTTCAGATCAGGGGGAGGGGGTTCCATTTAAAGAGGTGATCCAGGCCTAGCCCGCATTTCGCGACAGACAATCCTTTTGCCTGGCACCCCATGTAGCTGTGACCCTGTGTATACGGATGCATCTTGCTCAGGTGCCCCACGGTTTACACTGCTAGTACACGGTGGCCCCGTCTTGCAGAAAATGAACTCGTCGCACATCCAAAAAAAAAATCCAGGGCGCGGGCCTACCAGGCCACATTGGCTGGCGGCGCCAGCCAGAAAGAGAAAAAAAAGTGTGCCGCTGGCGGTTCAGCAAAAAAGCTTGGTTCGCAGTGGAGCGCCTCCAGGCCCGGGTGTACTTGTGGCTTAACGCCAAATGCCAACATCATATGCAGGACAAAAGGGGCCAAATGCCAACATCATATGCAGGACAAAAGGGATCACCGCTCAAGAGACACCTTCGCCCACTGCAAGCCACATAGTCCCCAAATGCACTGTTCAGTGCTGGGGGGGGTAACCAGGGCTGAAAAGTGGGGGTCCCTGTTAAACCACCAGTACTTGGCCCAGCTATCCATGCCGAGCCTGAATATGCCTTGCGCGCCGTTTCGCGCCAACCCTCCAGCGAAACCAAAAAAAAATTGTTTTGGCTGGCGGCATCAGCGTTCCAGGTCCGGTACCCCGAGCCTCCGAAACTTGCGGGCCGTTAACGACAATGCCTCGCGGCCAACATATGGGCCAAGTACTGGTGGTTTAACCGCTTGTGAGAGGGCATCTCTGTGCCATGCTCACATTTAGCTGCTCCACAGAAGCACATGGTCATTCTCACGAGACATCAAGATACCCGTCATCACTCTCACGGAACATCGACACCAGCCAACGATGAAGAACCATTTGGAGCAGAGGTCACAACATAAGCAGTAAAGTTGCGCTGGACATGAATGAACGAGAGGTTAAGAGTCTCATTTGACACACCAAGAAAACTCTAGGATCTCTTGGACAATCCTGAAGATCTCTCGGGCAATCCTGAAGATTCTCTAAGTTTGTGGTTCAACTTAGCTCGAGAAACCGCCACTTAGGGACCCAAAAAAAAAAAAAACAAGCGAAGTTTTAGCCAGGCGGGGTCCAGCAGGGGGGAAGTCTGACACCCACAGATTGGGGGGGGGGGGGGGAGGGGAGCTACCGTTTTCGGTTTGAGAAACGCAAGGTCAGTTCGGGAGGTACCTTCAGCTTCCAGGACGAAACGCCTGCGAGTATCATCGTAGAATCTCTACGATTCCTCCTAGCCACGTTTGCACATCTGGCTCCATCATGGAATGAAATTAGGGCACCGGAACACGGATTATAAAGTTTTCTCCATGTGTCGAACGAGACTCTTATCGAGTAAAATGGCGCTACGGTGGTTTCAGATGTGGGGATGAGATACCTTACAACAATGGGGAGAATTGACAGAGGAAGTGAAGGGCAGACTCCCAGTAGCACTCTACTAGGATGTACTTGTCTGCATTTATGGCTGCATTCACTTTGAGAGTCCTAGTACCATCACATTTTGCAAAGACTAGCAGAAAACGGTGAAGATCTCACGTCAAGAGGGGAGGAAGGTGCTGGCTATTCACTGGTGGTTTCCTTGAAGTTTCAGATAGAATGGCAGTTTGGAAGGAAACACAGACCTAAGAAAAAAGTAATGTTCTTCGGCGATTTGCTCCAAAATTGACGTGGTTGTCTTCTACTCCTAAAAAAGTAGAGGTATATTTATGGCTCTCCCTAAGCACCCCACATACTTAAGGTCGGGGGGCCAAGCGTTGGGAACAAATTGCGCCCCACTGACAAAGCACCCCACCTTCACACAAAGACGACCCCCTTTGCCGAAAGGGGTTCGGGACCTCAGAGTCTTCTCACACAAAAAAGCAGACTCCTTTTGCACCGAGAGGAACAATGTGGAGCAGGGTACCCGTCGAGAAGAGACAAAAAGAGAGTGCTAATAGCTCCATGACTGCAATGAAGTTTCCTTCTTTTTTTTTTTCTTTTTTTTTTCTTCTTCGGGAATGAAGTATGTTGTTGAGGAATGCTTCTTTCTTTCTTTTTTTTT